GGAACATGCATTTTTAAATAAGTTGGTGGTAGGCACTAGTCCCCCTGGCACTCCCCCACCCCTTCCAGCCTGAAGACAAGCAACAAGGATTGCTCAGACCTTGTGGCTGGCAGTGCCCTGTCCAGCTCACTGGCCACGTCTCACTTGCCACACAATCAGGCTGGCTCTAGCAAACTCTGGGGCTTTTAGCTATTAATCAGGGTGCTGGCAGGGATGGCAGAGAGGAAGCACTTTGCTGCTGACAGCCTGGGAGAGCTCAGTGCTCACTGTTCCCTTGCCCATCCAGGTCCTGCTGGGGCTTGCAGCTGCCCCACAGGCCATGAGCAACAGGGAGGGGATTTTACAGAGAGGGAGGAAGGCCAGGCTCTTGCTCCCGCTCCAGCCAGTTGCTGCTGGAGCCTGGCCAAGGCACAGCTAGGAGTTGAGACCTTTGCAAGAAGCTGCACTCATGGCAACCGGGGATCCCCAGCAGTTTGTTCCCTCCCTTCTTCCTGCCCACAAAACAGGCAGAGGACAGCTGCTACAGGGGCCCTGTGGCTCTTGGATTGGAAAGTGGAAGGTCTTTGCCTCTCTGGACCTTGTCATCAGGCCTGGCGCTTGGTTAGTGCCTCAGCTCCAAGCACTGCTCAGGAGCATCCATTTACAGCTGGGGAAACTGTGGCACTGGGAGTGGCTTGCTGCTGCCTTTGGAGCTGGGACTGGAATCATCTCCCCACTGTGCGCCCAAACACCCTGGAGAAGGCAGCTCCCCCACTGCATGCAGTGACCCCATGGTCCATCCCCGAATCCTTTGCAGAGGCTGCTGGCATGGGATGTGGAAATGTTGCTTGCAAATGACTGACGAGGTGCAGCAGTGGCCGGCCAGAGCCGACCCAATGCACAGCTTCATGCTCAGGCACCTGCTACTCCCAGGGGCAGGAGAGCTCCACACCAAGGAAGGAGATAAGGGAATGACTGGCTTTTACCAGGGGAGTGTAAAACACAGCTGTAGCTCCTCTGCCTGGCTTCCTACCTCCTCCTTAGCAGCTGGACCCCCTAGACCTCCATGCAGTGCAACTCCCGCACCCTCTGCCCCTCACGTTTGCTTCCACCCAAGACCACAGGGCCCCACGACAGAGGTGGTTTGTGTGGGCTGTCACTGGAGAGGGTAGAGTAGCCCTAGCCCGGTGCAGGAAACACTCCCAGGAGCAGGGGCAGCCCTTCCATGCAGCAAGAAGCAGAAGCTCCAAGAAGCAAAAGCAGGAGCAGCCCCTGCTGGCTGGCTCCCAGGAGACTACTGACAGAGCCAGGTGCCAGGCAGGGAGACACATGATAAACAAACCCATGGTCAAGGGGAGGGAGAGAGGATCCTTGGGCTGGGCCAGGTTATACGGTCTCAGAGCAGGACCCATGGGGAAGCACGAGGAGCCCTTTCTTTGGTTTATTGCAAAGCTCTAACACTGTGCCCCTCCTCCCTGGAATCCACCGCCGGTTCTACAGCGAGCAGCCAGGAAAAAAGATGTGCTAGCTCCCCCATGCATGCCCCGGCACAGCACGCTAGTGTTCCTACCCTGCTCAGGACATTTGAGACCGCTTCCAGCACCCTGCGAGGCAGGAGCACACCCTCCCGGCCAGCCCGGGCATCTGCTCCACCACAAGGAAGAGGTGTTTCTCCCCCCGCCCCAGTAACCAGGTGTCTCCTTGCCACTTCTTCCTGAGAATCCCTGGTACATGGCATTGGTTAGCTTACAAGACCTGAAGAGACGATAACGTACACCACGCATCTCGGCATTAGGAAAAGGCTAGACAAACTCAATGAAAACAAGCAATCCAAAGCTGGCAAATGCTAGAGTGAAGCCTGATTTTGCACACAGCATACGGCCTCCAGGGAATGCCCATCACCACCCAGCACATTTACCTGCCGTTTCTGTCACAGGCTGTCTGCCTCAGTCAGTGCACAGGGCAGGTCTGTTTGGGCACCAGCCGGGGTCGAATAGAGTGGGCCAGGCCCAGCAAATGGGGCAGGGGGTGGCTGGGAGAGAAAGGATGCTCTCACCAGAGGCAGTTATATGCCATCCTGGAGAGCTGGATTCTGTCCCTGCATTTGCCACAGAGCTGCTGCACAAGGCAGCGTAAACCCAGCTGTTCTGCTAGTGGCCCTTGCACTCACATTCTGGGCACCCAGCTTCTCTTCCCTGGGTCTGCTTTGTAGGCACTCCTGGGCCTAACAGGTGCTGCTGGGGAGTGGTCTGCACAGGAGCTGCTACTTACTGCCTGCCACGTTCTCTGAAAAAGAAATCAGGCTCAGGAGATCCTCTCAAAGTGTCCAGGCAGTGAATGGGAGTTAGGCACCCAAACACTTGGAGGGTCTGGCCCTAGGGGGGTCTCTGACTAGGCACCCACAATTAGGGTCACCTTTGGGCAACCTGGTAAAACGGGGATAAGAGCACACGCAGCCTCCCACAGCTGCTGAGAGGCAAGTGCTTTGCAGAGCTAGGGGTGTGCCAGGATGAAACGAACCAGCCTGGAGCTAGGACAGGGTTCAGGTGGCAGGTGGGAAATAAGGCTTAGGGCTGAACGCTGAGTAATGAGGAAAAAAACCATGCAGGACAAAGCCTGAGCTGCTGGGGACCCTTTGTCCTGAGCTCTAGAAGAGCAGGGCCCTGGATGCCTCTGATAGCAGGGGACTGGACTCAATGTGTCAGGAGTTCCCTTTTTGTTAGAGGGGCCTAATCACATGCCCGCATCACTACAGACTGCCTCACCACGCACGTGCTGGGGCAGACTTCTGTGGCACAGGCAGCCTCCACTCAGGTATTTGCTAACTTAGGGGTATTTGACTTGGCAGCTTTCATGTTCAGTTAAACACCAGTATTTAAATACTGAGCTGGAGCGACAGTGACATGGACAGCAGGTGAACTGAGTCTGTGACCCCACAAGCAGGGTGGGGATGAAAGGAAGGGGTTGCCTGGTCGGAGGGACCAACGTTTCTGTGTTTATGGTATGTGGGAGCAGATTTTGTAATGGGTTATAGTTTTTCTTTGTGGTGTGATACTAGGAGTGTAGATATATATATATAACTTTATATATATATATATCTATAGCAGGGGTGGACAAAATGTGGCCCGCGGGCCAAATGTGGCCCACCAAGCCATTCTATCCGGCCTGCAGGGCCCCTAAAAAATTTAGAAAATGAATATTTAGCTGCCCCTGGCTGCCTGTCATGTGGCCCTCAATGGCTTGCCAAAACTCGGTAAGCGGCCCTCCAAAGTAAGCGGCCCTCCACCTGAAATAATTGCCCGCCCCGATCTCTCTCTCTCTATATATATAGAGAGAGAGAGAGAGAGAGAGAAAGAGAGAGAGAGAGAGTGTTTTTTTCCCTATATATATATATAAATTTAAACACCAGTATTTGGGGAGTCATTTCTAAAAGGGTTTCTCCCAGCTTGCAATACTGATTTCAAATACTAGGTTTTCCCAGCAGCCAGCAGAACTCACAACCCTCTCCCCTCTGTGAGCAGTAGGAGGTTATCTGCTTTGTGGACCAGCCCAAGCAGGAATGGGGACACACCCTCTGTACTTGGGATTTATGCTGCCAGGAAAGAAATGTTGAGATGCAGAGCCAGCAATCCCACTCCAGGCTCTGCAGGGTTGTGTCCTTTACTGAGTGCAGGCTCACTTGCCTCTGAGTCCTCAGCTCCTGCTCTGCCCTGGCCCAGCTGCTCATCTCAACTCTTGCCCTGCTCCTGCTTGCCTGACCCTGTCTCCTCAGCTCCAGCCTCGCTCCAGCCCATCTGCCTGCTAGCTCCTGCCCATGTTTCTCACTCTGAGTGTTTCTGCTCAGTGCAGACAAAATCTCTGGTAACTTGACCAGCCCAATGCTAACAAGCCTTCTCTCAGCATAGCAGTTTTTTCAGAGGTTCATAATTCAGACAGATTTTCACAGGAACAGCAGCAGCAAGACAACACATGATCCAGCCAAGTTTCCAGGCCCCACTCGAAAGAGTAGAAGTGGCCAAGCTCTTTCAGCAAATGGCTAGGATGCTGTTTTTCCCTAGTGAGGGTCCCAGAAATGGCTGACCCAGTGTAACTGAAATGGAGGCAGGCTGCTGGCCTGGGTGACTTCTAACTGAACAGGTGAAGGATGGCAAAACTCAAAAGCAACAGAAAACTTGATCTTACAACCACAAGTATCACACAACCCCACGGCTAAGTGCCTCTTCCTGCACCACTGATCTACAAGATGCTCATCTAGCTCTTACTACTACAGGGCATGTCCAGCCTCCTTCCTTCCCCACACCTCCTGAAGCAGGGCAGGGGTATCCCCTCTGATGTAAAGAGGGGCAGGTGAGGGACACAGATGTGGTGGCTGCCTTTGCAGCACTGCTGTCCTGGGCTCTGGCTCCTGCCCATATTATATAAAAGCTCCTAGTGCTAACTGGCCCAGCAGGTGGGTGGACTGCAGCATCAGATGGGAATATAGTTTCCACTGGGCCTCAGTAGCTAATACTCTAATCCAGTGATTTTCAATTGAGGTGTTACAGCAGCCTGGGGTGCCATGAGATCCTTTCAAGGGTGCTGTGCACTATTAGCACTATGAGGTGTGCAAACACTTACATTGGATTCACAAGAGGAACCCTGAGATTTCAAATCAGAATCTATGTTGTCAAAGACACCCAGACCTGTTCTGATCTGAGTCTCTGCAACAGGAGAATTACTCGGTTGCTTTTCCACAGCAAAAAAAGAGTGAAAGTGAAGAGCTGGCATTTTCTGAGCGGTGCCTTGAGTCCAGTGGGGTTGCCTCAAGTCTACAACAGTTGAGAACAACTGTTCTAATCTCTTCATGTGGTTTGCAAGGTGTTTTGTAATGGGGTCACTAGCTCAAGCAAGTGCATCAGTGCACTGTAACTGGGGTCAGGAAGACAGGTCCTAAACGAAGTCCTTCTGCCACAAAGGGAGTTTGTGGAAGAACAGGAAACTGAACTCGGACACACCAGGAGAATGCACTCACCACAACATCTTCTTTCCTCTCTATGGCCAACAAGGTCTTTATTTTTGTGCCGGCTGGGTGGGTGTACTTCAGAAGACCAGCCCATCCACCCTTCAGCTAGAGAGACAGCTGTTCTCCAGAGGAAGAAAACCCATCTTTTCTTTAATGGGGACATTTCCTTAGATATTACTGTAGTAACATAGGCAACCTGAGTATCAGGGTGGAGAAAAAAAAGAGTGACCCAGAGGTGCTGCTGTTGTCAGGAGTGGGTCACCCCATCCCCCCACCAGGTAACTTCTCCTGCAGAGAAGACCAGGGTCTGGGCAGGCCCAGGCTGCAGTCAGACCCAGCTGAATGTATAACTCCGAGGTTTGAAGAGTAAGTGCTGTATCAGGCACCTTGTCCCAAGCACTTGGACTCATCAGTCATTCACAGAAGCTGCTTTGGCATGTGGGGACAGCGCTGTCATCCCCTGAGAGTCCTGATTTGACTTTTTTTTTTTCTTTTTTTCCTTTTCAGCTCCAGGGGAGCAGAATCACTCTAATCACCCATGATGGACCTGCCCCAGCAGGCAGGAGGCCTGGGGGGTGGGTCAGTTCTGCTCCCCCGAGCCCAAAGACAGTGCTTTCCTGCTGCTGCCGGGTCTTCCACTTGGCCAGGGCTGCTGAACAAGGACAAGATCACCTCTTCCTGCGTTGGAAATGCCGCAGCAACCACTGGACAATGAAGGGCCATGCAATGAGGAACAGCAGGGTACGGGCAGAGATCTCCAGGGGCCATCGGGATGGCTTCTGCAGAGAGGAAAGACAAGGGCATGGTAGGGGAGAAATGGGTAATGCCCCTGGCAAGTCTGGGCACCCCAGGATGTTCCCAGATGTGGGGCACAGCAAGACAGTAGGAGTGCAGAGACTGCAGTTGCTGCACTTTGCCACATAGGTCTGGGTCTTTCCTTCACTAACGACTGGCCTCTCCAGTGAAAGGACAATGCCCCTTACAATTGCCCTGCTAGACTTCACAGCCCCCGCCTCCCCCAAGGACAAGCACCCCCACATGCTTTTTCCAAAGTAGAGCAGCTGAGACAATATTAAAGCCCAAAGTGGCCACTGATTTTCTGTCCCCGTTGCACTGAGATCACTGCATGTGCGTATCTACCACCAGCGCCTCTAGAGGAGGGAGAAGTGAATACTACCTCCATGTCACAGACAGGGAAATGGAGGCAGAGACAAAGGCCAGACTGTGAAACTTTTGCTTGCTGCCCTAGTGGGCTCTTTGTGATGGTCTGCCCTGCAGGAGAAAGGGGCTTGCGACTGACCCAAGATCACTTCAATCTGTGGCAGAAAGGAGATTAAGACCCAGACTCCCCCTGATCCTGTGTCCCTGCACACACCTGTCCTTATTCGCTTTGGCTGCCTCACCTTAGATGCCAAGGTTGTAAGTGTGCTGGACTGGTTAGGGAGCAGCAAAACATAGATAAAAATCTCACTAACTCACTGTGCCCAAGATCAGCCACACAGCAGGACAGGGCCTAGCTGAGAGCTGGCTGTAGGTGTACACTGGGTATGGCTCACCAGCCACTGGGGCTGGGACTCACAAGTGTGGACCAACCCCAGCCCCCAGCTCCCCCCATCCACTGAAAGCATATTACAGTCCCTCTGTCCCAGGGCTTCCTCCCTCCTATGCTAATCCTCTCACACAATTGGATCTAGCTCCCCAGCAAATCACTCATGGCTACAGTGCAGCTCTGTCACATGGCATGTGTGAATGGGAGGCTGAGGCAGGGTTGCAGTAACTAAGGAGGGGTGCCAGGAGCATGGGCCTGGGCACCAACACTGGTCTGAGAACTGTACCTGTCCAGTGAAGGAGGCAAGTGGCTTGTCAGGACCTTGTCCAGACACGTTCACCTGAAAGAGAAGCAGGCTCTGACTGGTGTGGCCTGGACTGGCTGGTAACAGGTGCCAACTCCTTGCCCACAGTGGTATCTGCCTCAGAAGCTGGGAAGCTGCGTACTGCAACCAAAGCTCAGCCTCATTTCTTGTGTAGGAGCATCGCTGCCATTTTAAGGGCATGCTGAGGGCCTATTCTACTTCACAGGCACACAACCCTGAAAAGGAGCCCTATACTAAGTCCCCGACCACAAGGGCCAGAGCAGAACCCTCTGCCTGAAAGAGCCCTGCAGCTCACATTGGGCTCCTAACTCCAGGACCTTCCTCAGATTCTGAGGATAAGACCATCTGCTTCCAATCTTAGCCAGGTATACAGGGTACCATGGGAAATAGCCAGTTCCCTCTCTTCATGAAGCCTTCTGTGGCCCAAGCGGTGTATCCCCATGTGTCAGTCACATACCTGTGCGGCAGTCACAGTTTCTAGATGGCTCAGCCTCTTCATAACGCTCTGCATATTGTCCTGCAGGGCATGGATAGCTCCAGCCACCTGCACATCCAGCTCCAACCTCACTCCTGTGCTCCTCTGGGCCCCAACATCAGTGTCCAGGCTGCCTCCGGATCCCCACTCTGCTGTGGCAATTTGTAGCTCTGTGTGGCAGGAAGGATGGACAGAGAGGCCAGAAGGATAGGTTAGACAAAACTGCCATCAGCTTACTAAACACTTGTGAGCCTAAAACAAGGTCTCTGCCCCAAAGCTGATCATTAAGACACACCCTGTAGGTCAAGGACTGTTACATCATGGGAGAACAAGGTTCACTGGTGGAAACCCTATCAAATACATGCCTCAAATACAATCCTCACTCAGTGGATTCTGTGAAGGTCAGACAGGATAGGCTCTGCTGGGGAAGACACAGAGATGGGAAGGGTGATAACAGTTCTCTCTACTCTTCTTTCCCCAGCTTCTCCCTTCTCTAGACCATTTGCTCCCATCACAGCTGAAGCCAACAGAGATTGATCCTCATTCCACTGGTGACTGACATGACACAATATGGCACGGCCAGCTTGGTGCCAGTACATGGGTGTCCACAGCACAGCCACCAGTTCCTTGTTGCAGACTCTGTCCAGAGAGAGAGCTCCTCTCTGTCCCTAGGGCTGCTCCTTTGGGGGTGTATGGCACGCATCAGTGCTGGTGGGAGTTTGCCCAGACATTGCAGCTGCTCCACAGAGAAATCCAGGCCTTGTCTCAAGTCAGCAGCTAAACAGGATACCCTTCTGGCCACCGTGCCTGTGACTGAAGAGTGGGGAGGTTCTGTGTCCCACAGCAGCCCCTGGAGCTAACCAGTCTGGCTGTGTGGAGCATGTGATCTAAGTGACTGTGGGCTTGGAGCCTCCAGGGGCCCATTCTCAGAAGAGCGTAGCTCCTTGTGGGTCCTAAATCAAAGTAGCCAGGGCTTCAGAAATGCTGAGAAGCTCATCTAGTGCATCCAAATCATGCAGCAAGGCAGAGGGGGGAACAGAACGGAACTAGCAGAGCTGCCTCCCTCCCCTCCCACCTGTCCTGGCAAGCCACCTCTCCTAAGGTTATACTGCAGCCCCCTGTGCCCTGGGCCCACCAGGCCAGAACCTCAGGCAAGAAACTGCCCCAAGGGGAGCACTGTTGGCTGGGCCCTGTCTGTGATTGGGAGCAGACCGAGGACTTGGCATTGCTGACAGATTGCCTCACTGCCCAAAGTCCTCACCACCCTGGACTCCACTGCTCAGCAACACCATCACTCTCCTGTAAGCCACGCAGACAGGGATCCTGGGATGGGTGGGGAAGGAGCCAGCCAACCCCAGGGTTGCTTGGAAGCCCTGTCCCCACCTTCCCATCGCCAGGGGCTGCCTTATTCAGCTTTCTTACGTATTAACCTCCCAAGGGCAAGCTGTCTGGGATGGTTTTGAAGAAATATTAGTGCAGGAGATAGGCATGGATGGGACCAGCTGTGCCCAGACAGGACACCAGCCCCACCCTCACCTGGGCCCAGCCTGCATGGGTAGGGAGTTACACCCCCTAGGAGTGGGAAAAGCAAGGAGTGGGAAAAGCAGTGCATAGCACAGGGTAGAGACACTCAGCACCTCCTAGGATTGGGGCCCTATGATGCCACTGAATTAACTCAGTCCTGCCCTGAGAGATCTCTTTGAAGGGGTGAATGTTCACTCTTCATTCTCCCTGCTCAGACTATGAGACACCTGCCCCCCTCAGAACTCAGCCAAGACCACCCAGTTCAGTTAATTAAGGACATAAATTGCCAGCAGTTGCTGCTGTCTGGGTTGGATTTGACCTGACAGCCCACAGGCAGAAGAAAGATTCTCTTCTCTGATCAGCACACTTCTGCAGGTTTTCCTACAAGAAACTAGACTTGCCAGGACCCCCCCACCCCCAGTGTTTCGCCTCAGTCTTTGCTTCCCCCAGATAAACTTCCCCCACAGATGCAGTGAGCTGCTCACACCCCACCCACAGACTGTCAGCCTGCCAGAGCTCCCTACATCAGAGTAGATTTTACTAGCTCCAGCCCACCCATTTCCAGAGAAAGCCCCTGAGGGAGGCAAGCTCAATCCCCAGTCCCACATGAGCACCTGCTGCACCCACCTCTCTCGGTGCCAAGACCCATGGGGCTTCTACTGCTTCTTCCATTTTGTCTTCTGCCTTCAGCCAGCAATCCTTCCTCAGTCATCTCTAGTGTGGAGGAAGCAAACCCATCGGCCTGGATGCTGCAAGGGCTGCTCAAGGAAGAGCTCTTCTTGGCTAGGAGCTGACCAGCCTGCACAAGCAGAAATAGAAACAGTAGCTGCTCTGAGGCTGGAGGCTATAACCTGTAGCTACTAGTGGGGCTGGTGAGAATGTGAGGCATTTGGGGACTGGGGGGGTGGGGCTGGTGTTCAGGTTAACAGGACATTGTCTGGGGTTTGGGAGGGGGATTGGTGCCTTATGCTTTGGGCAAGACACTAGGGAAGTCATCTCCTAGGTTCTTCCTTAGTTATGCCACCTACTCATTTGGTGGCCTTGGGTAAGTCCCTTCCCTCTCTGTGCCTTACCTCCTCCATACGTATAATGAAGCTAACAGAATGCTCCAATGACTTGCCTTCACTACCACCCTTCCGTTGATGCTCTCAGAGCACTTTAATGAGTACCTGGCTGAGGCAGGTTTGAGAGAAGTGACTTGCTCAAGATCTCACAGCAAACCAGCCACAGGGTTAGAAGAGAACCCAAGTGCATGAGTACCTCCACCCACCAGGTTGCACTTCCTCACTACAACACACAAGACTTTCCGGTGTTTGACACTGATGGCACAGGGCACAGCTGAAGACACAAAGCACTGTTAAGGCTGGGAAGCCCAACTTGCTAGGTGCTATCTCACAGGTCTATTAGCTCAGGACCTGTGAGATACCACCTAGCAAGTTAGGCTTTAGCATGGACTCCCTGCTGTGGTCTTGGGGTAACCTGTCAAGCTCCCCTGTTTCCGTGGAGTGGGCTGGAAAGGTACATGCAAAACCATGAGGACTGAAGTGAGGTCCATGCAGCTCATCAGCAGCACAAAGAATTACCCAATAACATCTGGGGTGAGACAGACTGGACTGTGGTCTGCATAATTCCTAGAGGCACACCAACTTGTACAGCTAAAGAAGGCCAGCCCCTAGCTCCCTGCCCAGTCATGCTCCTTCGACATCCTGAGGCAGCTGGCTCTCTCCTGGCTGTGGCCATTTTGGGAAGAGAGGAGGAAAGACCAAAGGTACAGAGGAAGGAGATCCCACTAGTTCTGGGTGGTGGGAGTGGCTGAGGGGAGTGATGCATGCAGAGGAGGCCTTTCTGCTCTCTCCCCTATCTCTACATGGTTTAGAAACCCCAGCATTTCCTTTTCTTACTCATATCTTACCCACGGCAACATCTGCAGCTCTAATACTGAAAAGGCAGCATGGGCCCAGCCTCTACATCCCTCAAGGTCTATGAGGCTTGGCTCTGGGAATGGCAGCAAAACAGCGTTCCTGCGACTGTGTCCAGGGACTGGAAGGAGCATTGGGGCTCCATAAAAGTGGCACAAAGGCCAGAAGGGAACCCAGAGCCTGGTGATCAGTGGCAGGGCAGGGCTCCTGGGGTGCAGGCCAGGCTGAGCAGTTGGTGGGTGAGTAGCTGACAGTCTCTGGGGAGCCAGGAAGGATCTGTTTGACTGTGGGGCTGCTCCTTCAGCTCCTCTCACATCACAAGCAGCATTACCTGGTCTGCCTCCATCTGCTCCAGGGTATCACAGAACACTTCGCTCTCTGAGTCGCTGGTCAGCTGGCTGTTCTCAAGTGCCTCATCAGCACAGTCCAGCCCTCCTCCTGCAATAGGAAATACACAACTCAGCACCAGGGGAGGACAGAAACTCTCTGGAAGACCACTGGCAGAGTCACACACTTGTGGCAGTAAAGGAAACAGGGCTCAGAGCTACTAACTCTAATCAGTGTCCTTGGTGACCCTGCAGCCTTGGGATGGAACAAATCTCTTGAAAGGCAAGAAGTTAAGTCAAGACCTGTGTGCAGAAGGCAAGGCCAGAGGGTGCCTAACACTCTGCCACTAGACCCTTTCACTTGGGCGAGTTGCAAGCACTTCACTGGCTTTACAACCTGATCTGTATGAGAGGGACAAGTATCTTTCTCAGCATGCAGAAAGGGAAACTTAGGCACAAGTAACAGCGAGGTCAGAAGCTGTGGGGGACAGACTTGCTCCCTGTCACGCAGCCAGTAGCACAGGCAGGAATCCAGGCTCCTGACTTGCACACTAGGTAATTCTTCATCTCCAGGCACAAGAGCAGGGTCATAACCCAAGGTTATGCATCACTTGCCTCTTCAATGTTTACCATAGGGCAAGGCTGATCCTCTCATGTGCAGCCCCTGGCTGAGACGAGGAATGCTGCTGGAATGGGACTTGCAAACAGTAAATACCCCAGCTGGCTGGCAGCTGGGAGTACATGCAGGGCACATGTTGGTTTGGAGACAAGGCCCCTGGGTGCCCTAACATGCAATTGATGATAGCGACATCCTAGCACTGCCGCACAAAACAATCTTTCAGCCACGAACACTGCCACCCCCTGCAAGTGCTGCCTTCCCACCTGCACCTAGCACTGAGGGCCAGCTCATTTCCTTGCTTGGATTTACCCCTCACAAAGCCAGTCTAGCTGCAACCCGTACAAATAAAACCCAAGCAGCAAGTGAATTGCTGGTGGGGCCATTCCCTGCCCCTGCACAGTAAGAGCTGGGTCCTGTGCTCCAACCCAGACCCACAGCTACCTGAGAACCCCTTCAGTTAATTGGCTGCCCTTCAGCTAATAGCTCCTGCATGGGGACATGACTAAGAATGCCTTCCCCAGGCTGAAAGCTTTACAAGCTGTACCCAAGAAGGATCAGTCTGCTCCCAAAACAGCCAACTCCAGGGGTGATACATGCAGTATTGCAGCAGTGCTGGGCACTCTCTGCTGGAAGGAAACACAAACACTAATTTCTTGGGCAAGAATAGCAGGGGAATGAGGCAGGGTACAATTACGCAAGGCAGAAATGGTCAGAGCAGGGGTTAATGTGCCTACCACCCTGTGTAAGGAGGGCGTGGATTTCCCCCTATGTTCATGCTATGGTCTCTTGTAACAGAGAACCAGAGCTCCTGTTACTCAAAGGGTGAAGAAGCAGCAGGGAGAGCCCCCGGGAAGGGGAAAGCTGCCCTTTATGAGTGGCCAGGGAACAGGTACTTGGAGATTTACTTGCTATAAGTACTTACTGCAAAACCAGCTGCATGGCAGTAGCACACTGGACTAGTGCCCTGCATGGGAGACAAGCTATTGATATAGCAGAGGCCAGCAACCGTTTCCTTGGGGGTGAGCTGGCAAGCTAAATGATGAAGCACATGTGGGCATGGCTTCCAGCCATATAAACCTAGGGCCTGAGCCACAGTGGGCAGTTTGGTTCAGGGAGCTGCTGAGGGAAGAGCTCCAGGGCAGAAGCACTGCAGAGAAGCTCCTGGCTGATGCCTGGACTACCCTAGGAGAAAAGCAAGTACAAATACTGCTGATTACTAGGAGAACAGGACTCAGGATAGGGGGAAGCGGAGGGATACAGCAAGGAGCTGGGACTTAGGCTTAAACCCGATTAGAGATTTATGTTATAGACTAAGGGCTTATTTTGGGTTAGAGTTCTAAACTGGGGGCTTGTGGAAGGGACTATGAGGGACGGCTTGGAGGTCCCGTTAGTACCCTAGAGGCATGTAATCATCTTGAGTCCTGCTAAGGGTCAGGCTGAAGGCACAGGCATAGGGCCTGGGGCCAGAGGGCCCAGTGCCTGAGAGGCTCAGAGGCTGAGCCTGACAGGACAAGACTAGGGCTCTACTGGGCAGACAGTCATCTTAGCACTGGACCAAGAGAAAAGCACCCCCTCCAGAATTACTAATAGCTACAGCTATAGTGGCTAGATTCCCCAGGGAGCTTCATTCCAGCAAAAACATGATGGATGCTGATAAGGTAATTACTCCCATAACATAGTGGGGGTGGGGATTTGACTTGCCCAGGGTCACTTGGTAGGTCAGTAACATTGTGGGATTAGAACCAGGAGTCCTATCTGCCTATCCCTTGCTGTAGCCATTAGCAGCAGCAAATCTGCCACCTGTATAAGGCATATCTTTATCAACACTGTAAGTATAGCTGCTGCTGGAGCAGACAGCCTGTCCTAGTCCCACACGACTGACTTGCAAGCTTAGAGGCTGGGTGACATGCCACACATGACGGCTTCTTCCACTGCAGAGGCACAAAAGCCAGCACAGCCTCCCCTGAGAAGGTGCTATCTGGAGGCACTGAGAACTCACCCAGGGTCTGATCCTCTTGTTTCTGTTCTCCAGACGGAGGTTCCTCCACATGGTTCCCAGACAGTCTCTCCTCTTGCCCATCCTTGGTAGGTTCAAGGTCCTTCTCCTCTTCGTCTGCGCAGAAGTGGAGTGGTCAGAATAGCCCATAAGAGGTCAGCCTTTGGCACTGTAATGCCCTAAGCAAAAGGCTCAGCACTGCCAAGCCCCGTTCTGCTGAGCAGAGCCCAGTCCCATCTCTGCTGAGTGAACGAAGTCTTGCTGATAGCTGTACTACCAGCTGGCCCCTGTCTCCACTTACCCACAACCAGTTCTTTGGGTGCCTATGGAAATGCCCCCTGGAAAGGCATCCAAGCTGTACCACTGTGCCCAGACTCCCCTGCTGGAGTGGGTAAAGCTGGGATGCTTTCCCACCAGGACAGAGAGCACAGCCTACCATCCCTGAAAGGGCCTATAGCAGTGATTCTCAGCCAAGGTGCTGCAATTCTATGGGGTGCTGTGAGAGCTTTGAAAGGTACCGCTCAATTTTGGCTCTATAAAGTGTGCGAACGCCTATTCCTAATTCACAAGACAAATCCTGAGATTTCAAATAGGAATCCACAGTGCCAAGAACATTCTGCCCTGCTGTAGGCTTTCTGAGTTGTCTGCAACAGAAAAATTGCTCCGTTTAATTTTTCTGTATTCAAGAAACGAGTGGAAAGCTAAAGAGCTGGCATTGTCTGAGGGGTGCTTCAAGTCTTAAGAGCTACAGGTCTATGGAACCACTTCCCCACAAATATGGATGTGGGTGTTTGCAGAGGGGAGGGGTGTAGGGCAACGAGCCAAAACTCATGGCTCATATGCACCCCCCCACAGTCAGAGCAGTTCCAGGATTTGAGGGAAACGGTGTTCTCTATGGCTGTAAAGAAAGGGTGGGGTGGCAGACCTATGCAAACACACCCTGCATTCATGGGCAGGGACCAACGGATCTCAAGTGCAAAGTCTACCCCAAGCAAGCATCCCCGGGCACAGGGGAGACATGAGATGGGGCCATCCCTTCCATACCACCTGCATGGAAGGCAGAGCAGTTGTCTCTCAGCTAGACAGCAACAGCCATAGAACAGCACACAGCAGAGAGAGCAGCTTGATGGTAGCATAGGCTTAATTCCCTGGGAACCCAGGGGGGCAAAGCAGAGTCAGGAAAGTGCTTCTTGATTTGGGATCACAGAAGATATAGGGCAAAGCCTAGCCTGGCATAGGCAATTCCATCTCCATGAGGATGGCAGAGGTATCCCATGTACCAACCACCTTGTGGTGTTAGGCAAACACTTGCCTGGAATGGCTTGGACAGGGACAAACCTGCCTTGAGCAGGGGGTTGGACTAGGTGACTTCCTGAGGTCCCTTCCAGCCTGAGTCATTGTGACTGGTTTTGGATAGGAGCAAACGCTGCCCAGATATAGGCATTGTATACCAGCCCTGCCAGTGAGTAGCCTGGACCATCCAGATCAGGTCCACAAGGCACAGCATGTGCCAGGGACACCCCTAATCCTAGCAGGCAGCACCTTCACTAAGATCAAGGGCTTCCTGTAATCAGCTTGATCCAAGATAAGATGTTCACTAGAAGCAGCACCCCAGACTCAACACTCCCTAGGCCACCCCTGGCTGCTTGAAGGGTTGGTCAGTGACTCCTTTATTACCCACCCCCTGACTTGTCCTCTCTGAGCTCAGATGTGGCTCACTGTAACCTCCACAGGGTTAATCTGTATCTTCAGCACATTTCACATGGGCTATGGACTCTGAGCCCTACCGTGTCCTGATTTGGCTGGACAGAGTGCCTATGTAGGGAGGCTGAGGTGCAGGGGTAGCTGCCATGGCACTGCCTTTTGCCAATGATTTCCTCAACAGGGGGTGGTTGTCCTTTAACTCTCAAATACAATGGCACAGGAGCTCAGGCCCAGGCCTTCCAACAGGCTTGAAGCCTCCCAGGCCCCAAGAGTAGTGCTTTCAGGGTTAATCTGGGGTAGGAACGGCCCTACCACATCCCCATAGGAGTTACTGCAAAGACAGCCAATTGGGATGTCACAGGATGCTTTGGTCAGAGAAATGACTGGTGTTGACATCACAAAGCCTCATGCACTGGCACTGTCCACGCTGCTGGGAGGCCAAGGTTGCTGTGAAGGGTGATGCAGGGCAGGCACTCTGGTGTCCTCTCTTGCAGGGCTCACAGAAAAAAGTTTGGTGCTGTCCATCAGCTGTGGGGGAAAGTGAGCCTATGGGGAAAGCGGGCTGCAAAGCTGAGGAAGGTGCTACAGGTATTTTATTGTCTATGGGGGATTTCTGTCAAAGAAACTCCTATCTTTTACTGCACAATGGGATACTGCTTCTTTTCTTGAGCTGTACAACTCAGATTATTAACAGGCAGGGAATCCTACTACTCCAGCTTGTCTCTCACTATGTCCTGTATCCCAAGATTGATAAACAGGTTGGAGTGGGGAAAAGAGAAGCTATTTTTGGGTGGCAAATTTTAGGGAGTGGTTCCCAACCTGCCTAGACTCAAGGCACTCTGCATGAGACTCGAGGCACCCCTCAGGAAGTGTAAGTTCTTAGCTTTCACTCATTTTTTGGATACAGAAATAGTACAGAGCAGTTATTTTCTGGCAAAGAGCACAACAGCTCAGACTGTTTCTGATGCTATGGTTGCCAATTTAAAGTCTCAGGGATGTCCTGTGAATCACGTGTTGGTGTTTGCACACGTCACAGTGCTAATGCTGTAGGTCTCCCTGGTTGACAATCACTGGCTTAAGGTTTTCAGCCAATAGCTACTTTCAGTTTCCAAAACAGGTCACGTGTGCTCTTAAAGTCTCCTAAGTAGTGCTGAGGGAGATTTCAGAGGTCTAAAGATGCTCAAAGTTAACCCCTAAAATGTGAAAATTTTAACCTGCTGTATATATGAATCGGATGACAAGTTTGTTAATAAATTCAAGAGTTCAAACAGCTTTCCATTATGAACACCTGAAGCAATTTTGTTTTAACACAGCAAAGATTTTAATGCTATTAAGATATCCTTACTAAAAATACAATACAACCCCCTAGCATTGTCTGGAAGTACCCCTGTTCATATCTGTTTACAAGTGAGAGCAAAGTTACCTGCCTGCTTACCAATAGCAGGATTCGGGCCATTGCTTTCCATATTCTTTTTTGTTTGTAGAAGGTATAAGGCTGATGTTTATAGCACTTTATGAACCAACAACACGATTCTTTACCTGAGCAGCATTCTAAAATTAGTTATAAGTTTTTACCTGAAGCTGCTTGTATTTGTACAAGCTTCTGAGCTGGGTTTCTAAACAAGCCTTCAACTGAGTTTAAAAGTTAAGGATTTAACATACAATAACCACTGCATTGTTTGTTTTTTTTGATTGGCTGAAGTTATGATTGAACCCCACTAAAGACACTGCCCTGTCTTAATCCTCTGCATCAAATCTAAGTTGACAGCCCCTTTTCAGAATCATTTACACGGTGACAATTGGCTGCCAAGAACAGACACACCATTAAATTGGCAGAAGCCAGCACTTTAGGCTCAAAATGTGTGTCCTGGGGGCACATGGGAGAGGCTAAAACACATTCCTTTCCTCTAAAGCAGGGGTTCCTAAACTCTGACAGACTGAGCACCACCAATTTAAAATGATACAACCTAAAGTACCATCAGCAAATTTGTCATATAAAGTAATTATAATAAATCTGTTAATGCGTACCACTAGACAGGTGGTCTACGTACCACAGATTGGGAACCACTGCTCTAGAGTTCAGAGAGTATGCCAGCATGCAGCACTACACTGTCCAGCTACAGGGAGAGAGCCAGGCCAGCTGATGCCCCCTTACTGCCTAGTACTAGGGGACTCTTCCCTGCTTGGCATTCAGGGGGGTTCCCTCTGAAGCAGATGTGAATGCAATAGTCCAGGAGAAAACACCAGACTAGAGGGATCCCTGGGGACAGACTGACTTCAGTAGAGTACTCACAGTGAGGTTTGACAGGTTACACCTGCTAAGGATAGATCCCATAGTCCAGTCTAAAGCTGCTCCTGTCACTAACCGTGTTCTAGTGGCTAGGCCCATGCTCCTTGATGAACCAATCAGGAGCAAACCCCCTATTGCTACCCCATGCTTGGCTCCCAGTTCAGAAGTCTGACTTGGTGCTGGTTCTCATGTTCAGTTCCACAGGCCAGTCTTCACTGCCCTGTTAGACTGGACATCAGCAGTGGCAAGACAGCAATGCTTCAAAGGCATGAACTCTGCTCCCAAATGCAGGGAGTGCAATTTCTGCAGCAAAACCCTGCTCCATGAGGAGCCGAGGTGCTCACAAGCCAGAAGCCCTGCTCAGACCCTCTGTGCATGAGGCAGGGCAGGAGTCTTTACTCAGCACAGCACAGCTGGAGGCAGTTCAAGTAGCTTTGTCGTGAACTCTCCTTGTGAGGAAGAGACTTGGCTGAGCTGCTTAGCGCAATGTTTTGAAAGACCAGTCACACAGGCGGTGGTGAATGATGGACTCCTACCCATTTAGCCATGGAAGCTCCAGCTTGCATGAGTCAGGTTCAGCCAAAGCGGGGTCAGCCAAGTTTCCCTGGCTTGTGGAAGGTCAAACATACTGCGCATCTGGCCTGTCACTAGGCTGCATTTAGGGCCCCAAGCTGTGTGGAGATGGGTGAGAAATGGAGGGTGGAGCCTGCTGGAGAACAACACAGCTTTCATGCAGCCCCACCCACCCACTCTAGCAGAGGAGGATCCTGGCCAGTTCCACATGATCACAGATGGCACAAGCTACAGACATGTGCATGGAGAAAACAGAGTAGACAGTCTCCTCCACAGCAAGGCCAATTCCAGAGCAAGGAATCCCATTTGGGGCAGTAGCAAGAGGCTCCACCTCTGCTATCCAAACCCACAGACCCACCAGCAGCTGGTGCACCATGCCTGCTGAGCATCGGCTGTGCTTCCTGTCAGGACACTGGACTGGAAGACTGCAGATTTAAGGCTGACTGGGAGGGGGAATATGGTCCAGGGGGAAAGGGCACTAGTCTGAAACTTGCAAGTTTAATTCCTCACTGATGCTGGCCTTAGCCACTCTGTGCTCAGTTCCTCATTTGTGCAGTCAGGATGCATGCATTGTCCTCTAGGCAGGGGTGTTGAGAGAGGAAGGAAGGAAGGAAGGAAGTGCACGAGAGGTCAATAAGAAACCAGCACGCAGAAGCCAGGAAAAGGGAAACGTTCTACGGACAAGACCACTAAGGCACTGAGGTGAACAGACTTGCCCAAGGCCACACAGCAAGTCAGTGGCAAAGCTGGAAATAACCTAGGGCAAGGTTCTGGGAGTCAGGACTCCTGACTAGTAGAGGCCATTGTCCCTGGCTCGGGTCCCTCCCACTGCTCTGACAGCAGACAGGCTTACCAGCTTTCCTCTTGAAAAAGGACTCTGGGGGCCTGGGCATGTCATGTATCACATCGTAGAGAGGCTCGAAGTACCCAAACATGTGCTCTGAGGTCTTGTCCATGGGAATCGTGTCGATGATCTGGAGAGAACCCCAACAGCTCTCATGTTGCCACACTAGCAGACAAAAGATACCATGCCCTGGCAAAGGTCATTAAGCCCCTGGGACAGGAAATAGCATCTGTGGAAGGGTGGGGGAAAAACTAAAAGCAGCAGTTATTGTCAAGGGAAGCAGGAGGAAGCTCCAAAAGCTTCCCTCAGCAGCTTCTCACATGATGCCCAGGCCTCTCACTTCTCATATGCAGCATTCCCTACTCCAGATCCAGGTCCCCCAAATCTCTCTCACTGTTCTAATCTAGGCTATCCCCAAACGAAGGCCTCTCAGCAGGGCCAGCTTGTGAAGCGTGGCCTGAGCTCCCTGAGGGTGATGCTGGGGGCACCGAGATCAGGGGCACTCTCCCCTTGAGGAAGGCCTCTAGAGGCAAGCAGGCTGAGCAGCCTGGCATGGCACGGCAGCAAAGAGAGCTGTACCTTCTGAGCAATTCTCTTCATCTCCGAGATATAGGCAGCCATGGCGTCCTCTTTAGACATCTTCCCCAGGCTGTTCCATGCATCCCTGCCAACCAGAAGCTTTCATTACTGATGCCCCTAGGGCTAGGCAGCACCCCAGAACACTCCTACCACGTGGGTGCTGCCTTAGCCTTACCATTTGTACCGGCCAATGGGATCCCAGAAGCCGGGTCGGGGGATCGCACAGCTGCCCACTGTTGCCTGCTTGTAGTAGCTGTAGAACCGAAGCATCTCCTCGTAGGAGGGGCGGTAGGAACCTACGACATGGGCAAAGTCATTAGAGCAGGGCCAAACGAACTCACCAACACGCCACTTCCCTAGCACCATTACGGGCAGGCCATGTCCTGCTGTGATGTGCCCATCAAATTCTGCAGGGCTGGGCTGGCATGAGGCACCAGAGGCAACACTTGGACACTGAGCCAGCACTAACACTTTGCCCCACCCAATACCATGTGGCTGGACAACAAGCAAACACAGAACAGAGCGACTGGAGTCCCTGGGAAACTTGCAGCACCTTTTCAAGATGCTGGGCCAAGAGACCCTCAAATGGAAAGGTGTTATTGCTCTACAGTGGAAGCAAAGAGGAACAGAGGGCATGCAGGGACACCAGCCATTGTTCCTTTGTTATTTCCTTTCCCTTCAAACACAACTGAAGCTTCATGTGGCACAGAGTATTGTGGCCAGCAAAGAGACCTAGAGACAGGTATCTGGCCCAATTTATGCCACTGCAGCACCTGCTGCAGTCTGGTAAGAAGAAGTGCTCAGCTCTGCTCAGCATCCCACCACTGGGTGCTGCTGTGACACAGCCAGTTAAAGGTCCATGTGGTCCAGTATTCTGCCACATACAGGATACCACCCTGAGCCTAAATGGGTCATGCCTCCAGAGTACCTGGGGGCAAGGACCTCTGTGACAGAGCCCCAAGCTAAAGCCCTGGAGGTGTAGCCAAGGATGGAAGTCAGGCACATATGTGCAGCTACTGCTAGCAGGACCAGGGATGACTCATACCATGGATGAAGGGGTCAAATCTTCCCCTGAACATTTCAAGGGGAGCAGGATCTGGCACTTTGGCCTACAGAGCCCCACTACAAGACTCAAACTGGGGGCACCCAGGGATACAGACTCTGTGCTGCATGCTGGGCTAGGCAGGAGTAGGAGCAGGTGGGGGGATGCTATTAGAGCCTCCCACAGGGGCCAATCAGGGGAAAGGATCTGGGTGCACTCAGGAGGGAAAGTGGCATCACTGAGGCAGGCAAGTGCTAGGCTGTCCCTTGAAGCCCACAGGGCACAACGTGCCCAGCATGACAACCCCTCCCCGCCCAGCCAGACTCACTGTTCTTGGGCAGGCCCTGGATGACCCTGACAGCAGCCTGGAACTGCACCTGGTAGTCGGGTGCCGGGGGCTCCATCCCCATCCACGCCTGGGACCTGCATGGGAAGCACAGCCAGGATCCCTGGATCAGCAGGGGTAGAGAGGTATTCCCTAGGCAGCCAGGGGGGGCAGACCCCAGCTTGGGCAGGGCACGGGTCCCCCACACCCACATCCCCCTCCTCCAGGTCTGCAAGGGCATGCAGCGCTGGGGGAGCCCAGCCACCTCTGCCCCCCCAGCCGCCAATGCACACCACCTTGCCTGGACCGGGACCTGCCCCTGCCCCGCGCCCGGTGCACGCACCCAGGCCGCGCCAGAATCCGGCCCCGGCCCCGGCCCCGCTGCTGCGAACAGCTGATTCCCCTTCGCCCTGAGCCGGGCTGTGCGGGGGGCGGGATAAGAACCCCAACCAATAGAAACACACCTCTTATTATCCCGCCCCCCTTCAGTGGTGCCCATACCCTTCCCGCTCCGTCCAATGAGCATCGAGCTTTAAAGCTCGATGCAAATGAATCCTTTTGCGTCGGAGCCAATCCGCGCTCAGGGAAGTGCTCCCCCCGGAAGGCGGCGCGCAAGGAGCGGGCCCTCGTGGAGCACTAGCGCCGCCGGCGGGGTGTGGCGGGAGCTGCAGGGCAGCGGCCTCTGCCGGTGGATGTTGGAGGATGGCGGCCTTTGCAGCGGGGCTGGGGACCGGCCCTGGGCTGGCCTCTTCGAGGGCTGCAGGCGGCGGGATTGACTCCGGACCGCTGTGCTGCGTGGCAGTGACCAGTGCCATAGGAGCAGGGGAAGGCAGGGCTGGAAGGGACCTTTCCAGCCCCCCTGCGCCAGGCAGGGTCAACCCCTGGCTAAACCAGCTCAGCCGCTGCCTGTTTACCTTGCTCTTGAATTTTGTTTCCAAGCGTGGAGAATCCACGGCTGCCCTAGGCAGCCTGTTCCCATGGCTGACCCCACTCTGAGTCAGAAAGTGCCTCCTAATCTCCAGCCTAAATTTCCCCTGCTGAAGCTTGGGGTCACCACTCCTAGTCGTGTCCCCTGCCCTGCTCCTGTCCCCTACAGCCACAGAGAAAAGCCTGTCTCCATCCCCTCTGTAATCAGTCTTCAGGTATTTGAAGACTGTTAAGAAATCCCCCCTCTGTCTTCTCTTTTCCTGACTGAACATAGTTCTTTCAGTCTTTCCTTATAAGTGTTGCCTCCCAGGCACTGAATCGTTGTTGCCCTGTGCTGGACTCTTCCCACCCTGAAGTGTGGGGCCCAAAACTGGACACTGTACTCCAGGTGAGGCCTCACCAGTGCTGAATAGGGAGGAAGAATCAATTCCCTTGATTTGCAAGTAACACCCCTGTTCATAGGGTCACTGGCACCTTTCTAGTGCTGTGCTCTTACAGCTCTGGGCTCAAGAGAGGTACGTAGTCTTTGTGTGCATGGGCCCAGTGCTTGGCTCCTACCTAGTTAGTAATCATAGGCACCAACTCTGGTTTTTACCAATGGGTGCTTTTTTTATGGTGGGGGGGGGAGCAAGCCCCACACATGCCTGTAAGAGGCAGCATGTTACACTTCAACCTGACTTGCCCAATGTCTATACAGATCAGGTGCTTTAGTGGGTCTATCTTGACACTTTTATCTAATAGCTGATTGAATCAACTTTAGCTAAAAGTGCCAAAAAGCATCGCTGACAGACATTGCAGAGCCAGGTTGAAGTAGCATGCGGCTTCTTTCGGTAAAGTGCCTTTTTTTTT